TCAGACGCACTGTTCAGGGCGGCAATAGACAAAGTTAGATGGGCCAATATAATCGCCAACGTCAACAGATGATAAGGCACACTAGAAGAAAAAAAGGAAGGCTCGGGACACGTGCCTTAAGTCGGATCCTTCTTGATTGTATCAAAATAATGAGGATTCTCCAAATTATTTTTTTAAATAGGAATTTATGTTGTGATAAATCAATGAAATTAAAAAACATTGACATTTCTTTTGATTTTTATTCACGCTTTTTCTGCTTTAAATTTTTAAACACTTTTCGTCAAAGTGCAGGGCAAAAAGGTCTTATGTAACTGCCGCGACGTCGATTTTTGCAAAACTAAGTTACCTATGAAGGGTCGTTTGTTTTTTTTGAAATTGTTTAAATTTGTAATCAGATGATATTGAAAAACAATATTGCACATATCTATTACGATTTTATCGGCTATTAAGAGCGTTTTTGGCTTTCAATGTGTATATTTTTTGTAATGCAATGTAGTAAGTATATTAATATGCAATTTATGATGCCCCTGTAAAAACTTGCGCATGGCGGATGTAATGAGTCCTTAATGTACTGAAATTGCTGTCCAAAAGTTTTATTAACTCGTTTCGAGTACAGCAGTTTATATACGTTTTCTAGAAAGTATAAGGACACAAAACAATACAGCAAATGGATTAAAAAAACGCAAAAGCTGCGAGGGCGTAAAAAGCGTTCAAAAAAACATTAACTAATTTTGTGGTATTTTTATAACTTGTGAAATAAACGTAATAACCAGTGGAATAGGAGTCAAAGCTCTAGAAAATGCAAGTTCATCATTTCGCATTTCAAAGCAAATATTGTCTGCTACATTAAAGAAAATTAGATAGAAAGTGTCGGGTATTTTCTAGTCGTCTTCCTTGCAAACCCATATTTATCAAAACCGCGCTTTGACAAGCGCCATTATAAAAAAAAAGCCGCAAAGGCAAGCCACAGGTCGGTGTCTTGGCTTTGAGCGGATGCGGCTGTAGAAGCTGAGCATATTCAATGGCCCAGAGACTGGCGACTAGAGCCCAACCCCGGAAAAAAACTCCAAATAGAAGCGAGAAAGAGCGCAGAGAATAACAAACATAGGTTGTATAAGGAACGAATTTTGGACTTCACGCTTTCAATACGTGACGCGCGTGTCCCACATTTTAACCTGAGAGAAATAGCGTAGTCCCATAATTTTTGTTCTACATTGAGATAAAGTGTAATTTTGCTGACCATATGGGAAAACAAAATTCGCTCTGTTAAGCTTGAAACTGAAGCTTTTAGAACACGTAATTTAAAAAGAACGATATTTTCTATCGGTAATAAAGTTGACGGCCTTCCTGCTCAGAGGATACTTTTGTCACTTCTGTATGGTGTTTATTCTTTGGCCGAACTGTCGACCGTAATACGCCTAGTAGGCGAAACAAAATATAGATTTTTTCTGAGCTGTTTGGAACATTGTTTCGTGTCCGCACATCAGTATGACAGAAAATGTCGAACAGAAACGTTGCAATTGCCGCGGCAGAAATTTGTGCGAGGTAATTGGCAACAATGGTAGTGGGTTTCCAAATTTTCTTTCGAATGATACCATCTGATTTTGTGGGGTTGCTAAAAATGGTATCACAAATGAATACGAAATACACAAATATGCTGGCAGTTGCCTTACGATTTTTAGGTTGCGGTGATTCATATACAAATGTAATGTATACATTTAAAATATCCAAACAATCTATATCTTCAATGGGACCAGAAACAAGAAATAATCTTACATCAGTTTCCAAAACACGTCCAGACCTACAAATGTTGTTTCATATTTTTTCCAATTTCGAGGGGAACTCAAAAACATTCAAAAATTGTTTCGAAACTTTTTCTTTTAAATATTTCCGAAACGTTTCAAAAACGGATTTAAAAATTGTTTCTAAAGAAAATTTTGGGAGAAACATCCGCTCAAACATATGACTGTTTTCCTTCCAAGTTACGTCAATGATGAAAAATATTGTCCGTCCATACGGAAAGCCCCGATTATTATAAAGGTTTTCCACTAAAGGGACAACAGAAAAAACTCCTATCGAATAAAACAAAACAAAGTATTCGTGTTTCGAGTTGTGTCGGAGGCGGTCAGATCAAACGATTCCTAGGTGTTTTGAAACTCGAGTGTATTTTGTGCTGTTTATTTTAGACTTGTTACTTTCGAAACATCGAATTTTTCGAAAGTATCTACGCTCTTATAAAAATTTTATATCTCGGTAACGGTAGGTCCTATCGGATCGCCATAGGTACAGAAATGATCAGCTTCGAAAAAACAAATTTTTTTGTCTGTCCGTTCTCCGTTCTCGTCTTTTGGTTTTTCCTGAATAACTTTCGAACCGTTGGAGCTACAAAATTGTAATTTGCCTCCTTTTTAAACCCTCCAAATGATACATAAGCTTGTAAGAAACACGACAGTGCTCGAAATTTGAAGCAATCGACTTCATATTTGGCACATATATGAGCTTTGCACCGTGACGGAACCTATTGAAAATGGGGCTGGAGGGTCTAGAATTATTTAAAAAAAAATAAAAATCGCGTGTGCAAGGGTCTGCAAAAAAGATCATTTTGGAAAAACCGTTTGCAAGACCGAAAAAATTCTTGAACCAGAATTCGCAGAGGATACGGCTCCATAAACTTTTATTCTTGTGAATTTTTCAAAAATATATAGGGTGCGCCGCAAATTAAAAAAAAACTGAAAAATGGGTCCTCCCCTATTATTGAAAGTTGGCAATAATTTAAAATCTGTGTTTTAGATGCCAGTTTCTTTTAAATGACGATATAGCCCGTATAAACAGCTAAATTTTTGTATTTAATATTTTTAAGTATTGTACAGGTATTCGCGATATTCCCTGCAATATTAAAAAACGGCGTTATAACTTTTTTTCGATTATAAACAAGGTATTTTAGTTATGGACAAAAATCTAAAAGACCCAGAAAATTGTTCTTTACGGGAGTAAATTATTAACTGTAAATCAAAATTCGTACAAAAATAGCTAATTCGTTCAAACAGTGTTATATTCCGTATCAAGGGCTACAATTTCTGTATTTACGATTTTCGTCTGTCACGTACGCTGCTCGAGATATTTGAAAACATCCATTTGAAAATCGCAGTATCTCGCACTCAATCTAGACGCGATGACGTCGTTTACTATTACGGTTTACGGTTATGGTTTCAGAAAAGAGGTATTTTCGCCAAAACCATTTATCCTATTGAAAAAATTCAGATCTAGGGCTATAATTTTTACTTGCGGCATTTTTTGGATTATTTACAGGATGTGTCGTAAAAAAATCAAAGAGATCCTGGAAATTGCCGTTTTCGTGGGGAAATAAGAAATAAAATATCTGATAATTTGGTTTAAACGCTATCGAGAGAGAGTTTCAAGAGTGCGCCAGATATTGCCGTAACTTTGAAGGTCACCGAGATGTGAAAGACACTTCATCCAGGGTGCATGCACAATGAAATTACATCGATTTTGCGAAAATTCCATAGTGGTCCGCCATGAACTTGCCCCTCCCAATGACGATTTTTCGAAAGGAATCTTGTTTATTTCGTATTGCTGGTTTGGATACAATTTTTTTTACCATAGTATTTTTATACATCATTGAAATGTTCGACAAATGTATTCATTATAAGCATATTTGTTTCGTCAGATTGTGTGCGAAGATAAATGAATGTCGACAAAATTACTACTTCAATAAGACTTCCGTGCTACTAAAATTTATGTATATATAAATAAATAAATGACTTTTTTACAATTTAAACCATCCATAACTAAGAATACAGGAAGAAACCGTAAGTACATTTTGTTTGTTTGGGCCGTTTTTGCCCAAGTGTGTAAACTATTTGGGTACGAACGCCACTCGTTCCGAAAACCTTTTTTATCGAAAGTCTGCCGAAAAGCATTGAAAACAAAGCTCGAGTAAAATGAACTGAAGACTGAAATTGCCCGCTAAATATATTTCTTTGGACTATACATCAAATTATCTCCACATTTTTAATCAAACTTTGATTCTTATCAGCACACTTATCATCTAAAGTTGCAGATATTGTATAACATTAAAAAAAAAAACGCAGATTGGGTCTATTGTTTGTTCGCATATCGAATTGTTTAAACATAACGCAGAGGTTACTTAGATAAGCGGAAAACAATATTGTGAAATATTTAACCACCCGCTATAGATAAACAGATCACGCCTGGCTGACTGACTTGATACCTGGTCTGTCTCATGTTTCCCAAATTGCGTTTGCTAATATTCAGTTACGTGTGGTCTTGCACGATATTAAATATTAAACAAAGTTTTCATCTAATTTACCGTAAATGTTTGTTTTGTTTGATTTGGTTTGGAATGGTAAATGGTAAAAGGAAATGAATCTGGCGAAGTGGCAAAATGAAATAGAATATACTACTACCTATCCAAAAAATTATATTATATTATCGTGTAATTTGTATCAGCATTTTCCAATGATTTTCCAAATGATTATTGATAATTAAGAAAAATTATGTCACTTGGTTAGTGTTTATTCCAATGGAATGCAAAGCTTTGCGGTAAACAGTATCTCAAAATTCGGAGTATTTCCGACCAAGTTCTAAAAGGTGCAATTTCGGAGGCACATCGTTGTGGTCTTAATTTATTTTTCCTGATTAGTCTACAATGTTTAAAAGCGTTTGGTTCACTTTTTTTTTTTCATTTTATAGTTATTATCTGGATTCTCGCTTATCATTTAGTAAGTATTTGTAGAGTAGCAAATTTGGTATAAGTAATAAGAGTACAACGAAAGCTTAGGAAATTTGATTAGAATATATATCTTTTAAACCTAATTGTGAACGCCCTTTAACTCAATGTGAATTTTTAATCCACGCTTATAAGAACTTTTTATATTGGTGTCAGAAGTGATCACCCTCCTGTTTTTTTAACTCCGTATCATTGATACACCTTTTAAATCGCGTTGTTTCTTTTACAGATGGTAAACCGGGAAAATCAGTCGCTGATGTCGGCCCACTTTCGTCTCGAGTCTCATCCCCGGGTCCAGCCCTTGCACGAAGTGGTTGTGAGCGATCGGTTTTTGTACTTAGTGTTTCCTAAAGCGCACGGTGATTTGCATTCCTACGTCCGACAGCGGAAACGCCTCAGGGAGTCCGAGGCCAAGAAGCTGTTTCGGCAGATAGCCGAGATCGTTCAACACTGTCATCAAAACGGTATCATACTTAGGGATTTGAAACTGCGGAAGTTCGTCTTCGCTGATCCTGAGAGGTAAGTTTTTTCAATAACTGTTTGCGAAATATATTTAAACGCATCAGGGTCTGACGTGTTTTGGCTGTCACACTAAAAATCATAATTTGACTTTAGACTGGTACATAACTTACTTCGCTTTTGTAACCGATAACAATGTAAAACTTACGATGTGTCTGGTTTAAAATAGGTTAAAAAGGTAGGCACTGTTACTTATTAAGCTGATATGTTCTCACTAAATTCTTATAATTATCGATCGAGGCAGATCATCATTTGTTATTAACGTAATTGTTTTTAAAAGGTTCTTTTTCATTCAATTTCTTTATTAATTGTGTGCGTACATAGTGCGTCCATAGATATGTGTGGTCGTCATTTTTAATTTTAACCCTAGTCTCATCAAGTTTAGCGCTTGGAAACAAACACTGTTGCCCACATTTTTGTCAGTAGTTTTCTGTAATTCAAGTCCAGAATAATGTTTGAATGAATTCAGATTTGAGCCAGTTAGCGTTAGCAGGAGGTCTACGAAGTGTGATATGTAAATGGCCTTGCGGATCTTTTAGAACGATTCGGCAAAATTTTTTAAATTTGAAAAAACTTTTGAAAACAAATTCTTAAATGAAACGCCCAAAAATATTGAAAAACACGAACGCACAATAAAGTGCTGTTGGTATTATTAAAATTAAAATATCGAAGTATCATCTTTTTAATTGTTTAATTATTAGTTTAAAAATGCAGTTTTGAGAAGCCGTTGCCGAATTTTTTACTTAATTATATAATTAGCCTAAAATACAAAACATGTGCTTAAGTATATTGCTAATTTTATGTAGTTTATGCAAGTATAAATCGTTTTGGACATTAAAACTTATACATTTTAGTGTAATATAAAATTGCTTGCGTTGCTTTGCAAGGTCTGTTCTGTGAATTAAGAATAATGTCGTTTCGGCGGGTAATATGGTCCGATTAAAGGATACCGTTCGGGTTATTTTGGTGTTAAAAGCTAGATCAATGAATAACGTAATGGTGTTTGCCGAAGAAATGCAATTAGAGGGACGTTATATTATTGCGCTTACGTACCTACTTGATTGTCGTGCGACGGAAGTGCTAAAATAAATCGATAATACAGCTGCGAAGCACACCGGAAGTCATCTTTGTCATCGGACGTATATAGAAGATGCATTTGTCAATAACCATATCGGAAAAAGGTGGGCCAATACGAATTCTTGTAGCGTCACGCCGGGGCCGACGGATATCGTTTTTACATCCGGGTCTTGTCCCTTTTTTGTTACATAACAAGAAAAAAAGTGGTCTATATAGTACCACAATGGTAAGAATTGGAATCTTTGGGGCCTCACATATCGCGTTTTCGCTAATTTCGTTCAAATTGGAATAAAACGTGCCGAAAATTAACCGCCGCAGCGTAATTATTACTTGCGCTAAGGTTCGATAATTAAACCAAATTATAAATTGGATAATGTTGACGAAGTTCTTTGCAGTGGTGAAAAATTAGCTGCCATCTTGCCATTGTTAATAGTATTGACGTAATTCTTAACTTCATAAAAGTTGCCGATCCCTGGCCTAGTCAAACAGGGTGTTTTCTTTGGCTTATTAAATTAAGGCGTGTTTGCTTGGTTAACTTCGATCGAAACGCGCGCGCTGCCTTTCGTCAATACTTCACACCTCTAATATAGTTCTTTTTAACTATCTTGGTATAAATTCAGTTAAATAAAAGAAAGTTGATAGTATTTTAAATTGCCCTCTTTTTGATATAAGAAAATTTTGTGCAACGTGTCAAAACTTTGAGATTAGACTTTTTTTTAATGATCAATCCTGACTTGTTTTTGATGTTTGACATTTGATAAAGACACGGTGTTGTCGAAACAATTGTCATGTCAAAATATATAATTTCGTGAAAATCTGAACTTTTAGTTCTTATTTATTTTGATAAATTGATTTTCATCAAGGAAAAGCCACCTCAGTTCAATACAGTTTATTATTTAAGGATTCAAAAGACATTTCAAGTAATTTAAAGTTCCTATCTAATTGACAAATGGCAAACCTATACGTGATAAATACTGCGACAATCAATGACATACTCTTTCTTATTGTTCAAAGGAGGCCAAACAAACCCTTAGCCGTCATATTTTAAGTTTTACAAATAAGAAATTTAACACTGTAATCCGGAAACAATGACATATCCAGATCATATAACGTGATTAGCCCGAATAATGTTCATTAGTAACTAGTTTGCCATTAATAATTTCTACCAGGGACGGAGTTTAACCTTTGTTTATTTTGGGCTGCTGGTGTCTCAATAATTTGTCGGTTTTCGTTTTTCGATATAATCATTCGTTCCAACATTTTAAACCCAATTGGACCAATATATAGTTTGTCAGGAAGCAAGCAAAATATTTTGTTATAGCTTCTATCTATAGTATATGCGCATATGTTATTTCATATTACTCCAGTTCGATTTACAAAGCGAATATTTATGCTTGTCGGGATGTCTTTACAAACATTAAGTGAGCCAATGTCTACCTCATTATTCCGCGTTTTATATTAGCGATCATACTAACTTGTCATGCCATATTTTCTACGTCTAATTATCTAGATCTGAGAAGCAAGAAGCGAGTGCGCTCGGCTAAATAGAATACATTAGTGCATACCGGGTCGTCCTCAAGCAAAACTTTTTCATTTTAAGCGCGTCGCGAGATAACGTGTGGTGGTAATGCGGCTTTTTTTCAATATTCAACCAGCATTTACGATTGGCGGTTTTCATCCGTAAAATCTCTCTACCGCATGAGAAACTTGACGCTATTTTTTCGATCAGTTTCTTGCGGCTTCGGCTTATATACACGCATGTTGCAATCTGTATCGGGTTTAAGTAAACAAAAGATACGATTAAATATATTTGTGAATTAAGCAAGTGTGTGGATGTTGTTTTCGCTATCAAAAAATCCACCAGCGGTTTTGCAATCTCTCGTCGAAAGTGTTGAAGCGTATGTGGTTGAGATCATGCATGCATTCGTTGGTTCAGTCAGTTGGTAGTAATTGTTTTTTTATGAGCTTAATTTGGTTTTTAAATTTGAAAAACGGATACTTAAAATTGGCTAGTAGAGGGGGCGACACCACCAACGTAAAAATAAAAAAACGACTGTAAGTCCCAATTTCCACCCGTATAATAAAGTAAGAAAGGATCCCAATGGTAATAAATAGGTGCGTACCAATTTTTGCGATTACTGTCCCAGAACTGTCAGCAGAGCAATATAGAGTGAAGATTTTGAGAGGGTTTTTTAGACGTTACTTTAACAAAATCTCTATGAATCGTCGCAGTATATGGTAAAACACATTTGTGAACGAACATCTTTTGTTATCTTGAAAGGAAATTTTGTTTAACCAAAACGCCGATAATAAATATACAACTAATTGAAATTCAAAACAAATAGTTTAGGTTATGTTCACGAAATTATCCCAAAACGTTCAAGGCGCACCTAGTTCTGCGCAGTCAGAGGAAAACGGTTCAAAGATAGATACTAGATGGTACTTACGAACGATAGTTTTTTAGGCGAAGTACATATTATGTGACGCAAATTTTTATTAAAACTTTTTCCTTTCATTTCACATTCATTTTTATAAAAAATAAATATTTATCTTTTTAAATTTGATGTTTTATATTAAGTGTACCAAACGAAGTAGATCAAAAGCAAATAAAAACACGGTTTCCCATTTTAGTGATGTACCTATTTGATTGTGTTGGTAAAACAAACGTAAAAATAAATAAATACGTGGATAGTACTTTACGCAGCTCACCCTTTGCAATGCAATACAATTTCAATAATTTGGTGCTTCGACTTCAACTTTGGTTAAGAGAAGAAGTGATAGAATAAAATAGAATTGCGAAAGATGAGTTTATGTCATATATCAATTATAATAAAATCCTTAAACGTTTATCAGAACTACTTATTAAATTTTAGGATGCGGTGAAACCTACTCTGGTTATTAGTTTTTTCAAATAATTTATTTTTATTAAGTTTTGAACATTAATAATATTTTTTCAATAGAGCCCCGAACATGATAAAAATCATTAGGGTTATTTGAATATAAAATGCATAATGTACACTTGCAGAAAAAGTTATCTTTATTATAAAGCAAATAATTATAGTTGTCATCCCAACAATTTTAACTTGTCGGAAAGTGCTTTTCTTCATCCTTTACTAAGTGGAACTTGGAGTGTTTAAAATGGTACGCGCAGCTTCAACTTAAAACACTTTTGAGTGTCATTCTTCTTGTCTTTTCAAAATTTTCTGATTCAGCTTCTGCGTCGGCTTTCCCCATCTTCAGACAAATAAACAATTTCTCACACCTCTCGAATAACTGGAATTATACTAACTGTAATTACAAACTATAAATGAAATTGAATATAGCTGAGGTTTTGCTACTTTTTAGCAAAACGAAGTAACTTTAACAGTTGTTGATAAACCGGCCATGGAGAAAATGAAAGAGATCGGTTTATAAAAAGTGGAACAATTGTTGAAACCTATATCTCCTGTTCGACCAACCTCAGTTATATAAATATGTACAACCCAATAAAAAACTAGTCGTTAATTTTCCTGAAAAAGGAATCTATTGAATTAACTCTACACAGTCTTGGCAACGTCGCGCATGCACATCCCGTTTTACAAATTAAACTTTATTGACGCTTTCGCAATGTCGTACGTTTCGTAAGAGCATAACCTTGCCACTGAATAGTGAAAAAAATGCCGCGTTAGAATCGAGAGTCAGTCAGTGAGAGAGAAAGAGATAGGCGCGCAGTTGCGGCAATTCCCCAAAATCGACACGTGTTACATTTTAATTTTTGATTTTTGAAAAAATAATTTTACTTTAAATTTAGTTTATATTAAACGGAGAGATACCAACTCTTGTGTAAAAATGACAAATATTTATTAGAATAGCAACAAGAAAATTCAGAAAATAATAAATTTATTCTTTTCCAATTTTTGCTGTTAAAGTTTCTATTTTTTCTT